GGCCTTCTCATGTACAGCATTCTGATAACTGATAGACTGACCACATTCTGTTACAACTTCAGTTCTGTTGACTTTTAATGTTCTATTCTTGAGTTTGGGACTTTGGGATGGGATTTGTTCTTGATCACTAAATATTCTGACAGTTTACCAAAGAAAGACACATCAGGATTGTGAGGTTTTTCATGTGACCCTTCAATCACACCACATATGTGTGAACCAGGAAGTTCATCAATGTTGGATTAAGGTTCCAGCTGATTTGCCCCTCCTTCAGATGATACAGTCATACAGAACTACAAACCAATCCAATCAACAAGCTTGAATAACTCAACTGTTCCTTTAGTAATAGTCTGTCAACTCTAATTGTTTGTTTGTAGAAATGTTTATTCCGCAGAGCCTTCAAAAAACAAGTGACCTAGTAGCAATGAAAAAATGGCACAACATCATATCACAACTCAAGCAACATTTGCTGCCTTTCTAGATATAAAGTAGGTAATGTAAATGTACAGAATGGCTAGTTGCAAGCTGCAATCAGAGAGCTGAAACTAAATAAATAAAACAAAAAGGCCACTATTCTCCAACACCTCACAAGCTGCATCTTTGCACAGGGGTTAGCTGTTACTGTAAGAGTATAACTGTATAAGACACTACATATTCAAGCAGAGACTAACCAAATCAGTAAGTTATGTCACTGACATGCTAGCATGGTTTCTGAAATAAGGTGCTTGAGAGATGAACTGACCGGCAGTTCGTGGAGATGGCAACTTTTGGTCGGTTCATGGGAAGGCCAAGTAAATAAGCGGATTAATTGATGACCTCTGATCTGGGAAGCTGCATGTATGAGCAGCACTCCATGGATGAGATTCTTTGCTTTAGTTATACCAGATACAAAAGTTGGAATATATGGTACATGAAAATATGTGGTTTCGACATACGAGAGCAAGGTGTCGGCACAAAGGGAATATTATGCGATCCCGAGAGTCGAGACGCAACACCCCTCTAGCCACGCAAGCTTGAGAAAGATTGATGCGGAAGGGTAGCTCGTTACTGAGGGGGGACAAATCGATGGAGATAAGAATGTGACCATGGTGTTGGCCTGAGAGGGATGCCTTGCCTGGCAGAGGTGCCTGAAGGAGGCTCGGATGAGGGGGCAGGCTGAGCGAGCGGTGGAGGCGACGAGCTGCGGAAGCCGCCGCGGCATTGGAGTCGACTGAGAGAGTGTTGCGGCGCCACCATCCTGCCCATCCACCCTTGCCAAGGCCCAAGGATGGAAAGGACGGACGGAGGAAGAAGATACGAGGAGCATGGGCCCTCAGGCCCATCGACAGCAATTGAGGAGGAAGCAGCCTAGGCCCAGGAAAGCAAATCACCGGTACAGCTGCCAGTTCGTGACCCAAATACGACTTCCTCTGTTCGCAGTTTGCGCGACCAATTCGTGCCCCACTTGCTCTGCATAACATGGCGCCAAATCGAGTAATGGTGCGCGCGCTTTCGTTCCTCCCATGGTGCCCACACTCTCCGCGGTGCGCAACGCACAGACATTGCAGCAGAGCTGATGATGATGCGGCGTTTCCTAATGAAATCTGCACAAACTGCACTTGATGGGCCCTTGGTTTTCCGAATTAAGATGTGACACTTATCAGACATGGTATAAATGTTTTTCTCTCACAATAAATCAGTCAATAGTACTTCCTGGCTTTTCAGCGAAGCGATAGGGCTATGCATGTTTCACTCCCTCAGGTGTCACTTGCCACTATGCCTAAAAATCGGCACATGTCTCCTAAGGAATTGATCTTCGACAATGCTAGTGCCTGGACGTCCAGAAGGATGTGCGTGACTGCTGTCCATTTCCCGATCCTGCTCCGTGCCATGCCCCTGGCCTGGTCGGATTCCGCGCTGCTTGGACGACTTGCCCCGCCCACACCGCCCGCCCTCATGCGGGGCCATCTGCGCCCCTCTGTTTCCCACGCGAGCTTGAACTGCCATGGCGAGATGGAGGGAATGGAAGGAAAGGGACGGGAGGGGAGGGGAGGGGAGGGAGGGGAGAGGGTGACGTGCGCCGCCCGAGGAAGGTGCGAGGTAGGAGCCGAAGCCTTGCAGCAAGCCTCTGTCCGCTAGCCACCGGCGTCATTGCAACATATGCAACACCCGATCCACTTTTGAAACATTTATATAAAACATTCGGAACATACATATGAAGATAGATAAAATACTTAAACATGTGTCTAAAACACTTGCAAAAAAATCCAAAAAACACTTGAAAAGCCATCGCAGAACATATGCAACATCTAGATAAAACACTAGCAACATATATATGAAATATATGCAACATCTAAATAAACACACTTGCAACATTCGTCTGAAAAAATAGATGAAACATTTGGAACAGACGCTTGCAACATACATATATAGCCATTGCAACATATGCAACAACCCGATCTACTTTTGCAACATCCATATGAAACACTTGTAATATATCTCTGAAACATCTGAAACACTTGAAAACATGCGCTTGCAACATGTGCTTTCAGCAAACCCTGGCAGGCGGGTGGGCGGGCGGAGCAAAGCACAGCGGAATCCGACGCTAGGTCGCGGTGGAGGAGGATGGAGCCGCGATGCTACGAAGGAAGTGGGGCCAGGGACGGAGATGGCGACGGAGGGCGCTCGGGGCCCGCCACGTGGGCACGGGAGGAAGGAGGCATGGTGGGAGGAGGGCGCGGAAGAGTGCGGTGTCAGGGAGCAGCATGGAGAGGAGCGGGAATAGGACGTAGAGGAAGGCTGCCGGGAGCGCCGGCTTGACGGTGGGTGTGGGCATCGTGACTGTGCATGACGAGGAGAGGTCAGTCTCTTGGAGTGGTCAGCAGCGAGGCAGAGTGGAAAACGCAGCAGCAGCGAGGCGGAAGTGGGCGCACAGCGTCCGGTCTGACGCTCGCGTCCAATCATTATCGATTGATCTTATCTTTCGTATACCAGGATAATAACCCCGAAGGACTACAATCGGAAAGAATTAGCACTCACCATAAGCAACCGCGGAGAAGGGAAATGACTGGCCATGGACGGAGGAAAGAAAAAAGGTAAAAGATACTTAGCTTTTCAGAATTAGTGATTCACTGATTCTGGCTTTGCCCAAATAGTCAAACACCTAACACGCTAGCACACGGAGGTTGTGGAGCAAATCACGTCACACGCATCAAAAGCTAACATTGTGCTCAAAATATATCACATCCAAAATTACAAAATAAAAAATTCATCACATCCAATAGATCACACATGCATCCATTAGATCTAGAAAAAGATTGCCATATCTAAAACTTTCCATATTTATTCTATTTTTCAAAATAAAAACTTAAGTAAATATATATTTGACATAATAGATGATAGTAACCCACAGTTGTAATTAGGTAAATAGCTCAGTAAATAAACAACAATAAAGCCTTTAGGTAAATAGCTCAGTAAGCCCTAAAAACTTTTTCTACAAACATATATGTACTTGATTAATGCGACACAAGTTTTGATTTCATCCCACAGATTCTTTTCATTTAAAACACTACTGATCCGTTTGCCGCCAATTATAATTAACATGGGAATGCAAGAGGATCTTAATTATTTGAGTTAATTCCCCATGTGTGATGGATAAAATTTCCAATCCCTTAACTGTCACTAGATTCACATGTCATAGACACATTTGGGACCATCTGCCATACCTACACACGGGATGGTATATAAGGAATAGTTTTTTTTCAATGGCACTAGGGTGGCTCCCATTACTTCTCCATGCATTCTTCATCCCCAAAGTTTATCTACCATACAGTCACAAAAAAAGTGTATCTACCATACCAGTCACATACTGCTGATTTTTTGCTACATCAGATCAAATTCTTTTCATCAGCAACTGCATAATAGTTATTGCTATTCTCTATACGCCCTGTTCGTTTGGGCTTGTTTGGCTAATAAGCCATGACTGAAAGTACTGTTGGCTGATTTGGTGTGAGAAAAAAATATTATTCGTTGGCTGAAAAAGTACAGTTTATAAGCCAAGCAAATCCAAACGAACAGGGCGTACGTTGTTACTCATTTACCCACAACATTCATTCATATAAAAACAACCTCCCAATTCCCGCGAAGTGGAGAATTCACTTAGGGGCCGTTTGAATCCTTTTATTTGGAGGAATTAAAATCTACTTAATAAATTAGGCTATTTGACTTGGAATTTGACATTCCACCACTTTCAAAGTTCACATATAAGTCTATCTCAAATTCATAAGGTGGAAGATGAAAATTGATTCTATAGATCACCATTCTATGTCTCTACTTTGCAACTTATAACACACTGTTTAACTCGTTCCCCTACGGTAGAAATGCAACACATAAGTATCTCTCTCGTATAGCCAACAATAATACGCACATATAATCCATATACAACCATATTAGCTTAATTAATATGTGTCTAAATTCCAAGGATCCAAGTATCATATGATAACAACAGAAATCACCAATATTGTTGTATATGAAAAAACTAAACAGCTGGATAATATAGTAATAAAATCCAAGCCCAACCGTGAACTTATCATCTGAACCAACTTAAAAAAAAAAAAAAAAGAAGCAGAGAGCAAAGGTATGCTTTATTGTTACAAAAGGCTTTTCAGTGACACTGAAGGAAACAATCGCAAATTATCTTCAACCATCCTTGTTATGAGATCCCTGTAGCCTTCGAGTAAACTGAAGTTGCATCAATATTCTAGCTTTCATATATGCTGCAAAGTCAAAATGACATGGCATCACCATATTTGTATAAAAATGGCAACAGCAATTGCAAAAAGTGATGAAATTTATAGATTCATGCAGGGGGGGGTGTGAATAATGCCATTTTTGAGACGTACCAGCTTTCTGTGCCATAATCTGCAATTTATGGCCTTAACAACAAAAGATCTGTAATTTTCATGATACTAGCCTCATAGTAATGGGCTGTAAGTGCAACCAAACTGACCATGGACAATCAAGGATCAATAGGTGTAAGAAGACACATTTCCATTCCGAGCAATTGACAACTCGGTTAAGCCAAGCGCGACCTCCGGGAAACCAATATTATTGATAGCAGAGTCCAGTTCATCTTTTGAACTTGGCTGAACTGCACAATTCTTCTGTTTCTCAGGAGCCGCAGACGGCCCCTGGTTAACTGTCATCTGAATGTCATCCACTTGTACAGCAACCTCTGATGTGGGAGAAGTTTCATTAGCCTCACTCACAGCTGGCGTTGAAGCAACAGAACAGTCTGCAGCCTCACTTTCGCTTTCATCACCTGCATTGACCAACAGTACTTTTGGCCTGTTTGGATGCCCCTTGGCAGCTTTTTCCCAGGTTTCTCTTGTTTCCAAAGCAACTCTATGATCTAGACTGATTTCCTTAAGACATGTGAGACGGTTGATTTTGATGTCAGCAAGACCAACTAGGTCTTTGCAGATTAGCTTAAGTGAGATGAGGTACGGCAAAGCTCCTTCTTCAATTGTTGGTAACGTGGCACGTTGCAGGACGAAACACAGGTGTAGCAGCCCGGGCAATGCCTGATCTTCAATGATAAAATCTTCAAGGACATACGCAATCAGCTTGAGATGCTGCAAGTCTTTCAAGTTAGCCAATGCTGCAAGGAGGCCCGCTGTCAATTTCTTTGATGAAAGGCACAACTCCGGAGACCCGCGATCGATATGACAAACTGGGAAGTTCCAGCAAAGTCCCCTTTAACTTCAATGACCTAAGGTAACAAGGAGCCTTCAAAGAGTTCAGGATGTTTTCAGTGCCGTCATCGAAATGAAGTGATAGAGAACGGGATCATTGCTCTCTTCTTTGTCATCATGGATGAACTTTTGGACAGCATTCACTACATCGGTGAAGTTGGTGCTTCTCTCACTCCTCTCAAGCCACATCTTAAGCTTTCTCAAATTCGTCATGTAATTCATGATTTGTGGAAATCCTTGACACCCATCCGTGACAAATCCTGCAAATGTCTCTAAGTTACTCTGTTCAGTCAAGAAAAACTTCTGGATGTCACTTGTTATCTTGACTTTATCAGAAAGTTGAAACTTTCCAAACACATGGAGTAAACAGGGGAGCAGGAGGACCTCTATAGGTAGTATTTTCACCTTTGTTCTCCTCAAATCAAGTGTCTCCAAAAGTTTCAATTTTTCTATCTCCTTTGGAAGACTGGTAACAGTTTCCCCAAGGCTTAGATATTTCAGAAGAAAAAGGTTGCATATGTCTTTGAGGTGGTCATCTTCCAGGGGGTACATTGTTCAAGATCCAAGACTCTCAGCAGCTGGTACTTTTGGAAACTCAAAATAGTTTTGCCAGCCTCCCCGAAAACCATCAGAGATCTGACAAGAGATAAGTCCATGTCCAAAGAGCTGCCACTTGTAGCACTATGGTGATGGAGGGAAAGCCGACGCACATATTTGCGTTCAACTTTATTGCCAGAAAGTAGGGTGATGAAGTCCTGGGAGGTGGACATTAGCAAAATGAACTCACGCATCATGCCATATGTTTTGCATGTCTTTACCTGATCATCGTTACATATGCTGATGGGCTCAATAATGTTCCGGTCTATGAGGGTGTTAAAATTTTCACTAGATGAAGGCTGTGCTTCTACAAATCCCTCTGCTAACCATCGCCTCAGCAGCCTCTTCCTCTTTATGGGATGATCAGATGGAAACATACCAAAATACAAAAGGCAGGCTTTGGGACCATGGCCAGGAAGACTAGAGAAGCTGTGGATAAGCACCCTTCGCATTCTCTCCAATGTATCATCCTGCTCCAGATGACGTCTAAGATCTCTACACACATCTTCGCAGTTGGGTGCTGTGGGCCAACCATTTTTCCTCAAGAATTGACCCATGGTAACAAGAGCAAGTGGTTGGCCATCACATTTCTTCAGAACTTCTTTTGATTCTGGTCGAGTATAACCTGAATATTTTGTTGGGCAAGCTTTCTTGATAAACAATTGCTCTGAGTGTTTATTGCCAAGTCTTCTCATTTTGTGCACATAACCATTAGAAGAGCTGCAAGCATTAGCCACTGACTGGATAGTTGTTGTCACCATTACTCTGCTGCTAACAACATTATCTTCTGGGAAGGCAGCTTCAATGGTACTCCACTGATCTGTTTGCATGTCGTCAATTACAATGAAATACCTATAAGACAAATTGTCAACAAAAAGTTAATAGACTCAGCTGACGACAGCATATATCAAAGCGTGCAGAGCAAACATAGCCTCTATCCTCAACAATCAGTGTGTCGAGTAAACACCGTTTCTTTCTGAATGAGTTGGTGAACACTTCTGTTTCTTGTTACTACTCAATCAGTACTATGAAGTTTGTTTGCTCTTCAGTTCAAACAAAATTAAACTCATGTTCTCTATCAGAAAAGATAGTTTGAATGAGTTATGTTTTGGGATGGCTGTTAGGCGTGAAGAACAGGAAGCTAATAAATTTCGAAATAGATACTGTTCTAAAGTCGAAATTAAAAATGAATAAAAGAACAGTGAGAAATGTATGCAAAAGACTACCGACTTTGTCAACACCAAAAGCTTTTCAATGCTAATTAAGCTAAGATCCTGGATTCACTTGGTATTACACGTTTATTAGGTCTTGAGAGTTCAGAGAGGCAATTTGGACATGGAAACCCGTAATTGGGTTCATGAACAATCTGCAGAAATAAATAAGGTAAAAAAGGAAGATTTTTTTACCTTTGCTCACCCAAGTGTTTCCTGAGATCTACCGTAAGCTGGTCAACACTAGAGTTATCCACCACTGGCCTGCCAAATTTTTGGAGGATCTCCATGAGCACCTCTCTCGGACCCCTGTCAGTAGCAGAAACCCACGCCCGCAGACTGAACTGCCGGCCGACGTCGCTCTCGTAGACCTCTCTGGCAAGGACGGTCTTGCCGGAGCCATGGATCCCGACGATGGAGATAATCTTGAGCTGCTTTGTTAGTCCCTCTGCCTCCTCGGTCAACTGATGCACAAGCTCGTCCCTGGGACCGTCGATGCCGACGATGTCGGCCTTAAGGGTGTGCGGATCAGATCCAGACGAACAGGAAGACGATTCAGCATGCTGGGTAGAGGAGGAAAGGCCGGCGAAGACCCTGTACCTCTTCTCCCTCTGGTGCGCCTCCTCCGGTATCTTCTTCAGGACCTGGACCTCGGCAGCCAGCCGCTGACGGGACAGCAGAGTCTTCGGCGACCGAACGGTCCGACGAAACAAGGATGTTTGCTGCTCCCGGGTCACATGGTACAAGAAGCGATCTACGCAGTCCTCGATGTGATGAGCCAGTTCACGCAGCTCGTCAATTGACAGGCTCAGCACAGCTCCTTGATCCTTCCTCCCCAGCGAGACCTGTTCATCGATCGTAACAGCGATCATACGGAGCTCTTTCTCCATGGATTTGATGTCGCTCTTGAGGCCCTTGTGCAGCTTGTATTTCCCTTCTACCAGTGAGAAGAGCCTCGGCAGGATGGTTTTGATGAACCCGCTCAACAGGGAAGCCTCCATCTCCGTTTCTCACCTTGCTAGAGTAACTACTGGTCCTGGAAGAGATTAGCTACCACCGCACCAGGCATATAGAGGAGAGTAGATCATCACCATAGTATCTAGTTCTGCCCCCATCATGTGGTTCCCCGTTCCTAGGAAAATGTGGAGAGATTTTTGCCAGAGCGCCTGCCCCCCTGCTGTACCGAAATATTGTGCCATGCCCCCTCTAGGGCCTGTTTAGTTCCACCGAATCGGCTCCTCCTGAAACACTGTAGCAGCACTGTAGGTACAGTATCGTTTTGTTTTTATTGGGTAATAATTGTCTACTCATTGACTAATTAGGCTTAAAATGTTCGTCTCGCAAAGTACAACCAAACTGTGCAATTAGTTTTTGATTTCGTCAACATTTAGTACTCCATACATATACCGCAAGTTTGATATGACGGGGAATCTTCTTTTTACATAGTGTCAAAGTTTAGAATTTGGAGTAACTAAACACCCCCCTAGATTGAGAGCCCAGAGCCGAATCCTCAATAGTACCTACAAAAACTTTTTCGGTTGCCAACCGTTACACACAAAGTCATTTATTGTGAGACAAATAGGCCACCAGCCTTGTCACTAATAGTTTTTTGTCCATCCTTCCAACTTGGACCAAATATCTTCACGATTGACGTTTTATTTGGATCAAAGAATTCTCAAAGGAATTTTGAAGGTATATATTTGAAAAGAAAGAACTCACATCATAGTGTTTGGAACAAAGGAAAATTGAGTTCCTTTCCAAAGGAAAGGAAATTAGAATAGTGCAAAACATAGGAAATAAGACCTCCACTTCAACCCAAGGGAAAGAATCTTTGGTCTCTCTCACTTACTATGCTTGCTCATGTTCCCATAGTTTTTTGCCTCCGTGCCAAACATCTCAGAGTATCAAATCCTATGTTTTAGAATCATATGGTTTTTAATTATTCGCTCTATCTTATTCATGTGCTTTTTCTATTTCTCTGTTTTGTATCCGTTTGTTCTAAACAGGCCCTGACCAATGGACAACCCCTAGGACTACATGGATAGCATGCGATAGGAACTTGGCATAATGCCAGAAATATTTGTAGTTTCATATTTGCTATAGAAGCAACAAAATTAATTACTATTCCACCTTCTCTTCGATAAGTTATTCTTAGTTAGAATGGCCCTTTTTAAAAAACACAAGAAAATATCATTTTTTAGTGCCAACTTTATACACCAATTTTCTAGGAAACCTTCATGCCATTATCGACAAAAAGTTGTACATTGACTTAACCAAGAACACTCCATTTTCATGTAGACGCCAAAGAAAGTTGTCTGACTCTTCATTAGTATTAATATTAGCCAATTTTGCAACAATAAGTTGCCAATATTTGAGTTTGTTTGCATCTAATGATCTTATAAAATATACTTTTAGCATGATGGAACTCAAAACTTCTACTATTGTTGCTTTGCTATCTTTGGACAATATCAAACAACAAATGATAATGAAATTTTAAAGCCTAGGAGCCCAACCACCCGTCTTCCACCAATCTAGTTTGGTTCTCACTGTTTATGTTAAATGAACCTAGATCTAGGAACTAGGTAGTCACACCCATGAAGCCTATCCAAAAATATAAATCCTTCTACCATTTTATTTACTAAATATCTATTTTGTAAGAGGTTTTGCAATATACCATCTTACATGGTTCTGTCGATGTTTTACCACCGATAGCCTGCCACAGGGGTACCCGGGGCAGTATGTTCGGGCTTCGGCGTATGCTGAACTCGATGGTTAACGCAAGAGACAGTCGATTTATCCTGGTTCAGGCCCTCGATCGTAGATCGAGTAACAACCCTACGTCCAGTCGGTGTTAGCCTTTGCGTTGGATTGATTATGAAGTGTTGTGTCGTACAATTGCTCTGTTGAACTCTCGATCCAAGGTGCCCTGCCCTCCTTTATATAGTCAGGAGGCCAGAATCCTAGTCGGTTTACAATGAGAGTTCCTAGTAGGATTACAGAGTAATACTACTACTAAGATTACAGGAGGAGAATCCTAATTGGACTAGGTCTTCTTCCTTCCTTGCGGGGTATCCTGTGGGTCCCGTACCGACAAGCCCCCGAGCACTTCATGGTTGAGTTCTGGAAGCCTCGTCTTGTTCCTGTAGGTCTTGTCGGGTAGGAACAAGCGTCGTCTGAGTGCTTTCTTGAGTGAAACCATGTAGCGCTTCTTGAGATCTTCGAGTGGTGTGTGCTTTTTGAAGAAAAAGTACATCCATCTGGATGTAGCCCCCGAGCCTCTTGCTGTTTGGAACAAGGAGCTGGAGGGTCTTGTCTTGAAGAAGTCTTCTTGGTGACGTGCACTTTTGGACAAAAGTGCACTTACTGAGTGTAGCCCCCAAGCCTCTTGCTTGTTGGGACAAGAAGCCAGAGGGTCCCTTTAGTCTTCTTGGTTGCTCTGAGTTCTTTTTCGGTGGGTGCAATTTTTCATAAAAAAGTGCACTCACTGAGTGTAGCCCCCGAGCCTCTTGCTATTTGGAACAAAGAGCTGGAGGGTCTTGTCTTGAAGAAGTCTTCTTGGTGACATGCGCTTTTTCGAAAAAAGTGCACTCACTGAGTGTAGCCCCCGAGCCTCTTGCTATTTGGAACAAGGAGCTGGAGGGTCTTGAATCTGAGTTGTTTGATAGAACCGTGTACCTCTCCTTTTGCAGCCCCTGAGCATATATCCGGTTTGTTTTGTTCAGGAAGAACTTGGAAGCAGGGTTTTGGCATATTATCTGGTAGTCTGCTGTTGTCAGATGTAGTTGTATGGTGGTGGTTGAGTTTGAATGCCTTTTGTTCATGGGTTGTACTGTGTCGGTATATTCTTCCGAATATGCTTGTCTTCGAGCATTGTTCCCTCTCGCCTGAGTCTTCCATTATTGAGTCCTGTCTTTTCACTGTCTCCTTTGTTAGTCTTATTTTGTTGGTACTCCTAGTCCATGTGCACCGCTCCTTTGGTCTATAAATACCCTTCCGTAGTGCTTGCTTTCATCCATTGAACATTCTGTTGAAACCTTTGTGATCACTAACATGGTAGTTTGTGAAGTAGAGCAGCCCCCGGGCTTGTTTCGTAGTTCCTGTGTGTCTTGTCATAGTTGGAGGAAGTCTTGTGATAGGGATTAGAGGTTGGCAATCCCGCGGTAGCAATGTACCAGGATGTACGTGGCGGTAGTTGGAGGAAGTCTTGTGATGTGGACTTCGTTCCTTCATCTGGCAGTTCTGGGTTGATCCTCATCGCCTGTCTTGAGACTGTCCGGTGCAGATCAACACCATATCCAGCATCACATCGGTCTTGGGTAGACAGATGCCTACCGGCCTTCTCTACTCCATGTTGTCCTATCGTGCTGCTGATTTCCACCTTGGAAGCACTGCGTCCGTCCTTTGAAGAAAATAGTGTAGCCGATGGCGGTTTGTCCTTCCGAGTAGCAATTTGGGACACGTAGTCGTTCCAGAGCCCAGTCGTGTCCGTGTTCTTCTTTGCTACTTTGCTTTTCGTGGTACCGAGTACGTTGGGTCTTGTAAGATTTGTAATCTTCTATTTTTGAAGTCGCTTGTAATGGAAAGAATCTTTGTCTTCTGAGTTGTTATTTACTTTTCTGCTGTAGTTCTGGTTGCTCATGATATTCCCGAGTTCTTTTCGTAAGAACCGAGTTCTTATGTTCCTTGTGAAGTTGCCTTTCTTTTCTTCTTTGTTGACGGGTTGTTCTTGTAGTTATCTGATAGCTCCGCAGTAGTGCTGGACAGATAAGTCTGAAATCTGCCTGTTGAATTGTACCGTTGTGTGGATTTGTGCCCTCCATCATTTTAGCTGTGTCGGTAAATGGACCGTTGCGTTCTCACACAGTGCTTTAACGGGCCTGGTGGGCCATTTTTAATGCTGTAAAATCTATTTAAAGACCCTTCATCTTCTTTTTCTTTACTGCCTTTCTCTTGCCTTCAAACCCTAGCCTTCAGTCCTCCACCGTCGCCATTGCCGCCGCCGTCTTTAGTGCCGCCATCTAGGCTTTCTTTTCCCCCAATTGCTTTTCGCCTCCTTTGGTACATGGGTAAGAAGAAAACCGCAAGCAAGTCCCAATCTTCCTTCTTGGACGAGGAATCTTCACTCCCCGTGATTGAAAATCAGGAGTTTGTTGCCATGAGGGCCGCTCAGAAGTCTTGGCCGACTCCGACGACCATCGAGGAGCAGCTCCGTGAGCTTGTCAGCGACGGCTTGATCCAGAGCAAGGCCATTGCTGAATGGAGGGTTCTAGGCGAGCATCGGGTCCCTGCCCCAGGTCCTGGTGAGATTGTCCTTTTTGTCTCTTTCATTCGTGCTGGACTCTGCCTTCCTGCCTCTGCTTTTCTTCATCAGTTTCTCAGCTATTTTGGGATTTGCTTGAACCATCTTGCTCCTAATGCAGTCCTTCACCTTTCTATCTTTGTTCATCTTTGCGAAGCTTTCCTTGGAATTCCCCCTTCTCTTTCTCTGTTTCGTTATTTCTTTCGTCTGAAACCCCAACCCCGCCGCGAAGAAACCAGCGTTCTTGGTGGTTGTGGGATTCAATTTCACCAGGGTCTTAAGAGCAAGTTCTTTGATTATGACCTGGTTGATTCTATAAGAGATTGGCGTGCCGACTGGTTTTATGCCGCCAATCTGATCCCTTCTCTTGCTGTCCACTCTGGATCTGGTCTCGTGGTTAATGACCGCTGGGATAAGAATCCTATTTCATCTGCTGAGGTTCAGGCAATCCAGCCATTCCTTGATAGGATTAGTATGCTGAAACAACAGGGTTTAACTGGCTTCGGCATTGTTTCGAGTTTTCTTCGTCGCCGAGTTCAGCCTTTGAAGGAGCGAGAGCACCTTGGCTTCGAGTACTCGGGGGCTGAGGATTCTTCACACATGGTCCCAGCTCTTGAGCTGACCGATGAGGAGGTACTCGAGCGTCTCTAGAAGATACTGAAAGGAGCAAGCGTTGTCCCGCCTACCGTCTCTGAGTTCTCT